AGCTAATCCAGTGCTTTTACTTCTTGACAACCACGAGAGCCATGTTTCAATTGTGTGTTTAGATTTAGCTAAAAAAAATGGTATAACTATGCTGTCCTTTCCACCACATTGTAGTCACAAGTTGCAGCCATTAGATCGGTCAGTTTATGGGCCACTGAAACGTTATTACAATGCAGCCTGTGATGATTGGATTGTATCTAATCCAAGACCGATGACCATATATGATATAGCTTCAGTTGTAAGGAAAGCCTATGCACAAGCTTTTACTTTGTCTAACATTTCTGCAGGATTTGCTGTGGCAGGAATTGAACCCTTTAATCCTAACATATTTTCTGATAATGAGTTTTTGTCTTCATATGTAACAGACTGTCCAGAACTTATTACTGCTAACCCTTTTCCAGTTGTTGTTGATCCAGTTCATGCCCCAGCTTTTAATCAAGTCTGTCATCTGGTTCAGCTTGTAGTGTATTGCCTATTCAGCCTATATCTGACCCTGGAAGTCAACTATCCAGTGTTTCTAATAATATCTCTCATCAAGCAAGTCTAGAAAAAATTAAGCCATTTCCAAAAGCTGGATCAAAGAAATCCATTAAAGGACGTAAACGTCAGCGTACTCGAATACTCACAGACACTCCTGTTCGAAATGAGTTGAATAAGCTTCAGAAAATAAAAAAAAAATCTCAGTCAAAAAAGAAAAAACATGAAATGCAAAATAAGATCTTCATGACAAGAAAAAGAAAACTTGATCTTGAAAGTAATGAAAATAAAAACGTTGAGTCTCGGTAAAAAATAACATTTTTTTCATTAATTTTTACTTTTTTAAGAAAGATAAATTTGTAGTAAAATTAATAATAACTTTATTGGTTTTTATTATAGACATTGTTTTGATGACTTAAAAATTATTCTTATACAATCATGGTATACATTTGATCTCGAATCAAGTATACATACATAGGATCAAGGGTGCATATAGGTAGGATCAAGGGAGCATACTGGTATGCACCCATGATCCTAATTGAGCATTCTTAGTTTTTATAATTTTAAATCTACTTAAAATATTCTGGTAAAAAAATGAAAATTGAATTATAATAAGGTATAAAGTTTGCTATTATGTACTGTTATTTTAGAGATTGAAATAAAAACATATATTCAGTAAGTTGGCCTGATAAATTTTTAGGATCATGGGTACATACTCTCCCCTATTGAAAGTTTAACTAATATTCTGTTATGGTTTAATGAAGCCAAATTTCTTTATACTCCAGAGATTTGGCCTTTCTTTGATCAAAATAAATTAATTAATCTTCCAGACGAAACAAAAATATTATTAACAATGGCTAATAGATTTAAAATTTATTGATATAACTTATTTTAATTCATATTCCCGCTTAATACGAGTAACAGCTTATATTCTAAAATTCGTATCTTGCTTAAAAAATACGTAAGTCCGAAAAGACAATCTTTTACTTTCTTCTATTGAATTAAAATTATTATATATTATATTATTATATATATTAAATTTATCCAACAAAATATATATAGTTCTAAGAATCATAAACAACTAAAAAATAATTTAGGATTTTTCTTTGATAGCGAAGGAATAATAAGACGTAGGGGACGATTAGGAAATGCTCCGATTAATTACAATATTAAATTTCCAATACTTCTTCAAAAAGAAAGTATTTTTACTGAATTAATTATGTCACATTGTCATGAAAGTGTTAAGCACAACGGCGTAAAGGAAACGCTAAACCAATTAAGAATAGAATTTTGGATTGCAAAAGTTAGAAATTTAATTCAAAAAGTACTTTAAAAATGTTATTTGTGTCGAAAGTACGAAGGAAAAACTTATAGTTATTCTGATATTCCTCCGTTATCTTTAAGTAGAGTAAACGATAATTATGTTTTTAAGTAGACAGGAATTGATTACTGTGGATCATTATTTGTGAAAAATATATATTCTGAAGGAGAAACATTTAAGTGTTGGATACTTTTAGCTTCTTGTGCTAGTACGCGTTTTATACATTCAGATTTAGTTCTGACTATTCAGCTTTAGTGTGTATTCGAGGGTTGCGAAGACTCGTTAGCAAATTAGGCGCACCATGCAAAACTATTAGCTATAATATGTTTTGTTTTACAGCCGATGAAACACAAAAATTTGTATCCTCAAAAGGCATTTTACGGCACCTCAATGTTGCAGCCACTCCGTAGCGGGGAGGATTGTTTGAACGTATCAGTCAAGTGAATTCTTGTACGTACGTACGAGGTAGGTACGTTCAGTTAAGAGAATTCTCAAAAAATTATTGAAAAGATTATCCTACGAAGAAATTCTCACAATTCTTGTAGAAATTGAAGTCGTTACGAATAATCGTCATTAATCGTCCGTTAACGTTTTCGTATGAAGAACTGGGAGACGAACCGTTATCTCATAATCATCTCGTGTTTGGCAAAAGAATAAGCTCAGAAACATTATTAATAAAAAACAGTTACATGAATATGGACATAAAAAAGTGCGTGCAGCAAACGTACAATGTGTTTCTGCTGGAAAAAATATGTATTTGAATCGTTCAGTTAATAATTTGTGTTTACTTGAAAAAAAACAAATTTGATGTTGCTGAAACTACGTTTGTGAATGAAAATAACATTCTGCTGTTTGTCACAACTGTTGGTGGCGGTAGTGCTGCGCTAATCAAACCTTAATAAACGTAAATCGGGTGGATTGACTGCATTTATTAAATAATTAATGTCCCATTGGGAATATGTATAAATAGCATGCTTATCGAAGCCTCGCTCTCTTGAAGTAACCCATCAAACCATTACAGTGATCTACAATGTCTCCTTTGTTTTTATCGCATAGTCGTATATAATATAATAATTATAAGAAATTGAACTCGTTTTACAATGCGACTCTTACGTAAAACAACAAGCTGTTTATGTAGTCTGAAAGACAAATTTAGATTCTAAAAAAAAATTTAATTGAAAAAGAATTTTTTTAAAAACTTTTATAACTTCAATAAAAAAAATTTTTGTTTTTTTTGTTTTTTTGTTTTTTCAGAAGTCCAACGAAAACCTAACGGTTTTGTCACGGAGTACATCAGAAAATTATTTAACTAGGAAGTTCAAACCTCCTTCCTTACCGATGGTGCAAAATATGTCCAAAAATTGCTTCAAAGCAAAGGTTTTTTGCTTCGAAGCAAAATCTGGGATTTCAAGCAAGTTTTGTGCATATTTCAAGCAAGCGCTATAAACACTGCGCCGCTGTTGCTATAAACTAAAATTGTTATATTTTAGATTGTAATTAACCATAATTCAAATCATGACGAAGAACATTTGAAGCAAAGTAATTTTTAATTCATTAAAAAGATATTCGCATACAAAAAACAGTTTGCGCCGAAATAAAAAATCTGAAAATTCAATAATATGGAGAACTTAAGTTATGAAATCTTTAAAACTGTTAATGTTTTTAAACGAACATGAACGAAAGAAAAGTAACACCATTTATTTATTATTAATTTCAAATGTAAATTATATAAAGGAAGAAGATTGTTAATCATATTAAGTTAAATATTCATCTGTTTTTTACCTTTTGGACTTTTTGAAAGCGATAGATTTAATTTTGAAAAGCGATAATTTATTTTTGAAAGCGATAGAATTAATAAGGGATGAATAGATTTTGTGCCTTAAGAAATCTTTTCAAATAATGACTCAAATTTATTTCTAACATGTTTTATCTTTCTTTTTTTTACTGAATTCATGTTGCAAAGGCCGAATGGGCCTCTTTAAAAGAGAAGCTACTTCTTGTATTGGTTACAACCCTCTCTCAACTCTTTTACTCCGAAACACTTTTCAACCTTGACAAATAAGACTGATGCGCGCAGAAACAGGTTGATATACATAAAACATGTATTATATTTTATATCTCTTCTTCTTTATAAATGAAAAAAAGTTAATAGCTGTCGAATTTAATTGAAAGTTAAATGAAATTTTGACATTGTTATCGAATTTAACTGAAAGCCGAATTTCTATTTCAACTTCGGCACTTAATTCGAAACCTAACGGTGGAATGCAAGAAGCGAACTTGAGTCAAGTTCGACTTGAACTTTACTTTGTAACCAATAGCGGCAGAGTGTTTTTTGAGGGGAAAACCCATACTCTGTCGCTATTGGTTGCAATGTAAAGTTTAAGTCGAGCTTGACTCAAGTTCGCTTCTTGCATTCCACCCTAAGTCAACTTCGCTTTTCAGTAAACTTCGTAGTCCGAATTTTAACGAATATCGCCGGTCCTTAGTTGCGGGATCGAATCTTTATTAGAGAGATTTTTGGCAACTCACAACACTTGCTGTATTATTTATGCAAGTCACAACACTTGCAACACACGGGATCGAATCTTTATTAGAGAGATTCTTAATTTTAAAGTTTTATCTCTATGTAGTTTTATGTTTTTTAACTATTGTTGCTGTTTATTTATAAGTATATTTATTATTTATTTTCACCTCTCGAAGTTTTATAGAATAAGTAAACCAATGCATACCTAAATAGACTGGAGTTTAGTGACTTAAATAGGTATAGGCGTAGTGGAGTGTACATACATCTACTGAGGGTTTAGCTTTGCGCAGGTATTCTTTAAATGAAAAGAAAAGCATTTTAATATTTGATTAAATTGAGTTTATAAATAAATTTATTTTGTATAAAAAAATTATAAAGTTAAGTTAAACAAGAAATTTAAGAGAAATCGTCAGATTAACTAATAATTAAACTCATGTCTTAATAGGCGCGTACAACTTAGAAACAATTAGTTGTACGCGCATGAATGTCGAAAATAGCCATTTTACATTGGATCCGGTGTCGAAACAATAACCACGGCTAATATTTTACATCCCGTCTTTTATATACCGTTGTATATAAACATATTTTAGCCATGCTGCATTAATAATAATAATAATAATAATAATAATACAATATACCGTTGTGATTTGTATTTCATTCATATTTTGTTGATGTATAGTTATTTTTAGAACAAAATTACTATATTTATATTTAGCTTTTAAACATGGTTAATGAAATAAACAACGCCCACAGATTCTTCTTGCAAGTTTTTATATCCAAAAGACTTCTATCAGAAGCAGAGGCATTGGAAGTCTATTATAACGCTTTAAAAAAGTATGCAGGTAACTTAAATTTGATATTTCTTTATTAGATGGGTATACTTAAAATACAATGTAAAAATTAAAATAGAGAATTTTCTACAATCAGGTAAGCAACAAGAAAAGTGTAACTTCGTACGCAGATATGCTCGGAGTAACAAATATATAAACTGAAAAAAATAATAACTAATTAATCTATGTCATTGTTTAAGTAGTTAATATTTTTCAATTTATTATTGGCAATTACTATATCTTAATTTGCGGGCTGTATTATTGTTATAAAATGAGGTTCTTACTAATTTAAAAGGTTTCTTGAAACCTTATTTTATAAATTAGTTAATTAGTTATAAGTGTTAAAAGACTTAAAGATAATTGTGTTCAAATTGTTTGCTAGCTTTAATTTTTGTGTTAGTATTTGCATTTAATTTTAATGCAAACACTACTACAAAAATAGCAATCAATATGTGTGATAATAAACACTATATTAGGTATGTGAGTAAAAATTTCAAAATGTTTGAATACTATATTGTTATATATCATTAGAAAGAAGATTATTACAGTATTTTAAAGGTGAAAAAATTATCAAAATTGAACAATTGGTTTAAAAATTATGACAGTTTAAGTACCAATTTTTCTATGTATGGATTTGTTGAAGAAACTATGGTCAAAATAATGTTTTTCTTCACTAAAATTGTCATAACTTTGTCAATTCTTATCGAAAAACAAATATCTTGGCGTCAAAAGATAGGTGTAAGAATGAACTACAACTTTATGTTAAACTCTAACCACCGAGCGTTTCGGATGGACAGAGGGAGCACCAAACCACCACCTTGCCCGTAGGAAACTAAACACTTTTTTCAGAAAAAGTTTTTTTTTAAGACATAAGCAATATAAATATACAAAAAAGTTTTAAATTTATACTAAAAGACCACCAAAATATATGAGAGGTGTATGTTAGCAATAGAGGTGGGTGTGGTGGTTATGGTTTGATACACCCTAGTATCAAAAACGACTTGATTTTATATTTATATCTTTATTAAAATGCGTAAAATTAGTATACAATATAAAATTATGTTATACAAAATCTTACGTATTCAGGTGGTGTTTCTATTACGGGAGGGGCGTATGCCCCCACCACCCATCCAAAAAAAAATAGAATTACTGTTTTCAAAATTTAAATAATAAATTTAAAGAAGAAATTATGATATTGAAAATAAATTAAAAAATAAATTCATATCAGACAACTATCAAATATGAAAGATGAACGTAAAACTATACTAGTAAGAGGCATTCTAATGCCCCTTCCCCCTCTAACTAAAAATTATTAATTAATTGGATATATATAACTAAAAAAAATAATTCAACTGCTATTATGGGGCTATAATTAAAAGAATTGGCTGTAAAAAACATCTCATCTTTATAACCAAGTATAGCAAATACCTATATTATTGTCTTTCATGTGATTCTCACATCAACAGAAGGACCATACAGTATGGTTAATGAGCCATTTTTTTTGGTTAACAAACAAATTTACCTGTTTCAAAATAAATAACAAACCAAATGTTGACTTAAAAAAGGTTAAAAATAGTTTATAATTATTTTAAATATGATTTAATATAATTTTTGTCTTGGCTTTTAGTGAATGATTAAAGTGATTAATTCCAATAATGAAACTATATTTTAATCATTTTTAACAATAGACACCACAAGAAAGTAGGCCAGAGCCTTCTATCAAAAAATTTAACAAATCACAACACTTGCTGTATTATTTTTGCAAGTCACAACACTTGCTGTATTATTTATGCTAGTCATAACACTTGCTATACATTTTTGGCAAGTCACAACACTTGCTGGATTATTTATGCAAGTCACAACACTTGCAACACATTTTTCCCAAGTCACAACACTTGCATTGTTTTTAAATTAATTAAATTGTAACTCACAGGAAACAATATCAACAGCAAGCTGGATCTTTTTCATGCAATAGCCAACAGCTTCAATATCAGTTTCATCATCTTTCCAGTAAGAAATGGAGTAAATATAAATTCTTTTATTAACTTTTTCTACCCTGCCACTATATAAAACACTTTTGCATGTTTTTGGATCGTACCATTCATGTTCTAGTTTCTTTCCAACAATTCTAACTGACATGACATCTTGTAAATCAAATAGTTGGTCATTGGACAAGCACTTGCATTAATTAATAACTTCGTTAAAATTCAATTTGGATAGCTCACGCTCTAACTTTCTTTTTTCTTTTTCATCCAATTTTGGCGCTTGATTTTTTGTCTTTGGCAAATCTCATCTCTCACTTTTAGTATTATATAGATGCTATTATAATACTAAGCTATTGAATACAGAAATTAACTAACTGATGTTATCGGCTGCACTACAACTTTAGGCATCTAAAACAGTGAAATATTTAAGTTATACATAAAGGTTTAGATAGTGGCCAGATAATTTAAAAACAGTTAAATAAATTTATATTGGAACAACTTATTCATAAAGATATTCCTTATTAAATAAATACAATGTTCAAACTTCAAATTAGATATGATTCATCACTAATTTGATTCACATCTAATTCTTATTATTAATATGATATGAAATTCAAGGTGAAACCTTTATTTTCCTTCTCCATTTTATTTCTTAATGAAATATAAAATCGAAGTCTTATTTTATTATTTACTAAAAATCGTTTTATTAAAACAATTTCTTTTAAATTTACAAATTTTTTAACTATATTTTTACTCTAAAATATCTAGGTTTACAATATCAATTTATGGCATAAGTCAAATATTGCTAATATGAATGCTATATATGTAAAATAAATATAAATAAAAATAATCAATGGACCCCTCTGTCTCCCGCGTCAACATCAGGTAAAATGTAAATTTGGTAACAAAAGTGCAGCAAAAATAAGGTGACTGCTACAAAATATTGTTCAACGAAATTTGGCAGGTGCATAGATAAATAAATAAATTTAACAAAAAAATTGGATAAAAAATGGACATTAATTCCACCACAGAAGTACAACCAAAATTTTGACATCAATAAACTCGTTAATAAATTAGGTGAGTATAATTAAAAACAAATTGAAATAATGCTTCAACTAATATTCTTTTAAAAATAATCTATGTTGATAACGAATACTAAAAAGTTATTCCACAAAGCCTTCCTCAAGCACGCTAACTTTAAACACGCTAACTGGTATTTATTACTAAAACTGGTCAATATTACTAAATAATATTATTAAACAGGTTACTAAGTTTATGATTAAACAAAAAATATTATGGATCACATAAATCACACAAAAAACGTCCTGAAACTATTGGCAACAATATTAAGAAGCCCAAAATCTACTGATATCACATTTATTTTGAAAGTATTCTAAAGTAAATAAAATTCAAGTTATTACTTAGTTATTAAGTTATTATAGGCTTTAATTAAAAACCGGTTTTCCAGTATGTAGAATTTGCTAGAATGTCTTTATATATATATATATATATATATATATATATATATATATATATATATATATATATATATATATATATATATATATATATATATATATATATATATATTTATATCAGGCCTTCTCGTAAGAGGCGTGACCACACATAAATTTCTTTGTTTTAACAACTTGACCACGGCTCTTTGCAAGTTTTGATATTTACCGCGTTTAAAAAAAAAAAAGTGTGGTCACGAGAAGGCCTGATATATATATACACATATATATATATATATATATACATATATACATGTATACATATATATATATATATACACATATATATATATACATATATACATGTATACATGTATACATGTATACATATATAGATATATACATATATACATATATATATATATATATATATATATATATATATATATATATATATATATATATATATATATATATATATATATATCAGGCCTTGCGAATAAGAACTGCGCGACGCATAAGCACGACGTGATTTTTGACGTCATTAAATTCTTTTTATTTGCTTTTCATATTTATCGACATTAACTGCACCAATTTACTTAATTACCGCAAAACTACTTTAAATCGTTTATGTAGAAATGTTATTATTTAAAAATGTTTTGGAATGTTTCGTTTTTTAAAATGTAAAAACATTTGTTTATTTTCTCGACGTTTGTCACGTTTTGTCTATACTAAATGAATAAAAAACATAACTTAAGTTTAAAATAGATTATAAAATATTTGATTTTTTTTTTCTTAAATATGTAATTTAAAGTTTTTCAAATAATTATTTTTTCTTTTTAAAAAGTCAGCGAGTAATAAACTGGAAATTTTAATATTGTACGAATAAAAACTGTGCAATAGCTAATATTTTTACAAGCGATTTTATATAATATTTATTTATTTATTTTTATTTATTTTCATAAAGCGGTTGATAAGCACAATCACTCGTATTAATAAAAAACTTAAACGAACGTTTTGAATAGATTTTTAATGTTAACAAGGAATTTTATTTCTAGTAAAATAAAATAAAATGTTAGAATAAAAATCTTATAGGTATAAAAGAAATATTTCAGCGAAAAAATTATTCTTAAAAATTATTATTAAAAATTATTCGAAAAACTATTGACGTTCTATTTTTCTGAAGCTGTTCTTAAGCACGCTTTCATGAGTTTCGGTAACTTTTAACATAAAAGCGATCGTTATTATTTAAGTAATTTTTTTGAGTTACAAAAATTTTAATAACTGTACTTTTTTTATTGAATCAAGTAGAATACGTTTTAATATTAATCCTTTTTTTTTATTTTATTTGCGCTCACCAATTTATAAAATGTTTCCTCGAAATTACTCTTACATACTTTAAATACGTCTAACAGTTAATAAATATTTTTAAATCTATGGAATAATTTTAAAACCTAACAAACCCCCGTAAAATAATTATTTAAGTTAAAAATCTAAAACTAAAAGAAAGTATTTTTGTTTAACTTTATCGACAACTTTGCTATTGCTGAATAATTTTATTAAAATGTTAGCTTAAAAGATTTAAACTTTTTTTTTTAATCTGAACTTTTTCTACTTGTAAATAATGAGCATATTCAATTCTTTTTAATTCAAACTTTTATTTCAACTGCGTGCGGTTTTTAAAATACTTTATTAAATGTTAAAATAATCGTAAATTACTTCATTAAAATTCCGCTCAAAAATATCTTTAAATATACTCAAACAAAAAATTTTTTGCTCGACGCAAATAGCCCTAGCTACACGCAAAATCGCTCTTGGACGACGTAAAATTCACATCGCCCGACGCTTTATCGCAAGGCCTGATATATATATATATATATATATATATATATATATATATATATATATATATCAGGTCTTGTGATGAATAAAAACTGCGCGATGCATAAGCACGACGTGATTTTTGACGTCATTAAATTCTTTTTATTTGCTTTTCATATATATCGACATTAACTGCACCAATTTACTTAATTACCGCAAAACTACTTTAAATCATTAATGTAGAAATGTTATTATTTAAAAATGTTTTGGAATGTTTCGTTTTAAAATGTAAAAACATTTGTTTATGTTCTCGACGTTTGACACGTTTTGCCTATACTAAACGAATAAAAAACATTATTACTAAACATTTAAAAAATCTTATAAGATATGCTAATATTTGATTTTTTTTTCTCAAATATGTAATTTAAAGTTTTTCAAATATTTATTTTTTTGTTTTAAAAAGTCAGCGAGTAATAAACTGGAAATTTTAATTTTGTACGATTAAAAACTGTGCAATAGCTAATATTTTTACTAGCGATTTTATATATTTTTTTATTTATTTACTTTTATTTTCATAAAGCGGTTGATAAGCACAATCACTCGTATTACTAAAAAACTTTAACGAACGTTTTGAATAGATTTTTTATGTTTATGAGGAATTTTATTTTTTAAAATAAAAAATGTTAGAATAAAAATCTTATAGGTATAAAAGACATATTTCAGCGAAAAAATTATTCTAAAAAATTGTTATTAAAAATTATTCGAAAAACTATTGACGTTCTATTTTTCAGCAGCTATTCTTGAGCGCGCTTCGTTGAGTTTCGGTAACTTTTAACAAAAAAGCGATTGTTATTATTTAAGCAATTTTTTTTCGAGTTACTTTTTACAAAAATTTTAATAGCTGAACTTTTTTATTGAATCAAGTAGAATACATTTTAATATTAATCCTTTTATTTTTTTTTATTTGCGCTTACCAATTTTTAAAATGTTTACTCGAAATTACTCTTAAATACTTTAAATACGTCTAACAGTTAATAAATATTTTTAAATCTATGGAATAATTTTAAAACCTAACAAACCCCCTTAAAATAATTATTTAAGTTAAAAATCTAAAACTAAATGAAAGTATTTTTGTTCAATTTATCAACAACTTTGCTATTGCTGAATAATTTTATTAAAATGTTAGCTTAAAAAGATTTAAACTTTTTTTTTAATCTGAATTTTTTCTACTTGTAAATAATGAGTATATTTAATTTTTTTGTAATTCAAACTTTTATGTCAACTGCGTGCGGTTTTTAAAATACTTTATTAAATGTTAAAATAATCGAAAATTACTTCATTAAAATTCCGCTCGAAAATATCTTTAAATATACTCAAACAAAAAATTTTGTGCTTGATGCAAATAGCCCTAGCTACACGCAAAATCGCTCTTGGACGACGTAAAATTCACTTCGCCCGATGCTTTATCGCAAGGCCTGATATATATATATATATATATATATATATATATATATATATATATATATATATATATATATATATATATATATATATATATACAACCCTTGGAATAATGGTGGGCATTAAGCATTGCTGACCTTGTTTCTATGTTTTATGGTCAGACCTTTGTATCGTATATCTTTTGCCGACCTGATGCCAACCTCAAAATGATTGATTTCGGCAAAATTTCGCCGACCTCATTTTTTCTAATTCCGAGTGTTGTATATGTATATATATATATATATATATATATATATATATATATATATATATATATATATATATATATATATATATATACAACCCTTGGAATAATGGTGGGCATTAAGCATTGCTGACCTTGTTTCTATGTTTTATGGTCAGACCTTTGTATCGTATATCTTTTGCCGACCTGATGCCAACCTCAAAAAGATTGATTTCGGCAAAATTTCGCCGACCTCATTTTTTCTAATTCCGAGTGTTGTATATGTATATATATATATATATATATATATATATATATATATATATATATATATATATATATATATATATATATATATATAAATTTATTAGGGCACATCATTTTTACCCTTTTTTAAAATTTTAATATCATGTGTATGTCCCTATTTCATTTCTTTTCCTATTGATGTACAATAATGTTTTCCAAATTTTAATAATATCTGGACATAATCTAGGTATCCCACGCAACACTTGCAGTTTTACCGTAGCGATCTATTACTAGGATGCACATATTGTACAATATTGAACACATTGTGCATAAAAACTATTTTACCATTTTGGTTTAGCCATTATCTTATAGTTTTTAATGATACATTAGTCAATGTCCATCATCTCCTAAATCACTAACATACTAATAATATACTATTAAAAAGAAAATACTTAATATACTAATTAAGAGAAACAAAAAAGATTTTTTGTTATTTCTTTTTAAAATATGTTAGTTTTATTTTTTATTTATTTTCATACAAAATGTCTTAATTATTTAATTTGGTTCATCAATTTTTTTATTTTCATACAAAATGTCTTAATTATTTAATTTGGTTCATCAATCTTTGTAATTTTGTTTTATTATTTTTTTGTAAGTCGATGCACCTGCTAACAATTTTTCAAGTTTTGTATATACTATCAACAAGCAAATAGAATACTTATATATGGAGATTAAACGTGGCAGAGCTGAACACAATGGAAAAGTGTTTTTTGCTTTGGTAAGCATTTTTATGTTATCTGCTAATTCATCAAAATATATTTTTTTAAATTCATACATAAAAAATTTTTTTTATTCATATTAGTCTAATTCACTATAATTTTTATCATTTTTATGTGCTTTATGCAAGTCAGTGGTGTTGATTCAGTTTAATCAGTATGATATTTAACTTTTGTTTCAATAGAATTGTTTATCTTGATTTTTTAGATTTCATAGCAGTTTTCAATGCATGAGGTTTCAAGGCTGCAGAATTTAAAATTATTTTTGCATTGTTATCATATTAAAATCTGTATTTAACATAAAATTCTAATAAGGTAAATCTCTCCTTGTATTTGAAAACTATTTAAAATGCATTTTTAATATGTATAAAATTGTCTCTAATTAGGAAAAATTAAGATAAACAAGACTACTGATATTTTAATAAGATTTTAATGAGATGCCATATATATACCCAGGGGCTATTTCAAACCATTTTAGGCAGCGCTGACTGTATTTAGGCGCGGCCCAAATTCAGAAATTAGGGACTTTTTTACGGCAAATATCGTTTTATTAGCAAAAAATCCTTATTCACAGCAAATTTCCATACAAAAAGGTGCTAGCACAGAGGGCCTTGTTTTCCTAGAATAGCCTCTGACACCAAGATTATCACATTCATTGTTTTATAATGGTCTCAAAGATGTTGCTATTGAACAAGCTTATAAAGCAAGCGCTGTAACCACTGCGCCATATATATATATATATATATATATATATATATATATATATATATATATATATATATATATATATATGCGCATATATAATAAATACACTTAGTTAGATGCATAAATATTTATTTATGCATTTAACTAAGTGTTTTATAGTCTTTATTCAAATAATTAAAGTCTTATGCGAATAATTAAGGCTTTATTTGGAATATTTAAGGGTTCATTTTCATTTATAAACGGAACTGAGAGAACCATTTTGTTCAAACGTTCTTGTAAAGTGGTTTTTGATCGGGAGCGATCACTCTCGAATATCGACCACGGAAATTATACCCAGTTGCGAGAAACTGGCCAGGTTTTTCAGTTGTTTCGAGAACATTTAAGTTTATCTACGAAACAAAAAATTTTTGTTTTACGGACAAATATGGAAACATCAAAAACTTGATAGTTCTCAAAATATCTTGGTGCGAAAGAATAAAAAGAATATTCGCGAACACTAAAAACCCGCCAAATTAACGAACAAACTAATTCTATTGGTTCAAAAAATACGCTGACTAAGCAAAATAAAGTTCTAGAGTGTTCTGTTGAAATGTTTTAGAAATTGTATTATTCACGATTTGTTACGTTTTGAGATTTCTAGCATAAATTGTTTTAAGAATATATATTATTTGTTTACAAAAATAAATGTTTTAAATATATATTAATTAAATTGTCAAAATTTTATAAGTTTATTATAAGTTATAGATTTTATTAGTATATTCTTATTTTTTATTTAAAAAGTATGTATTCTTTATATAAATGTAATTGTGTGTATCTTTTTTATTGTAGTATATTGGTCAGTTTTACGTGAATAAAAACTTAAGGAGTTTTGCACAAATTTTTTTTCATGTTAAGTTCAGCAATTTACTCAGTAGTTGCTTAGCTTTACTTAAATAAAAACCAAAATTAGTAAATTTTTTATTCACGTAAAGCTGACCAATTACTGAGTAAAAGCAATTGCTTTTTTTTATTCACCCGGCCTAATGTATCTTTTAAAGCAATTTTTATGATTTAAACAAAGACTTGGAAAAATATTTGCGCTTTCAATGAAGATATAATCGTTAAAGTTAATAAAACTAATTATGTAACAAACATATAAGAAGTTTCTGGTTACTAAACACAAATAATATATACAAAGTAACTCGCGGATGAACAAGCACCGCGCCTGAGGTCACGACATAACAAACATTTATAGCAAATAATTAAATACAAAGAAAACTTTCTTGATATTGGTTTACAAACTCTAATTATTTTCATTTAAGTTGCCATTCTTAAAACTCGTTTTTCTGCTTTAAATACTAATTAAAATTAAAAAACCCACTCACTAAACATCATCAGCGATATTGTGAAGCAGTTTCGCTTCCTCGTCATTAAGTATATTTAACCTTTTTAGTTGATTTCTATCTTGTTAATTGAATTTCTATAGTAACCCAATGATTTAATTATTTCATTTGTTTATCTCATTAAGAAGAATTGCTTTAAATATGTTAAACTTTTCAAACTACGCAAAACATAAAATAGGTATTAAAAAAATTAACTTTTTTATTTATAAAGTAATTTAGCTTATTTAAAACTTTGTTAATAAAAAATATTTATTTCCTTTCTAAACAATTGCAAATTGTTACTTTATATAAAAAACATCGCTTAATTTTATAAAAAAAATATTTAAAAGAGCGATGTTTCGAAAATATTTGTTCTAAACGTAATTTATTTAGCTTTAATTTTTTTTTTTTTGTAATTGTCTCTCATTGGTCCAATTAATCTTATTCGCTTTTTTTTTTTTTGCTTTTAAAAATGTTCTCAAAACGACTAAAAAATCTGGCCAGCTTTTCGCAACTAAATATTATTTAAGTGGTCAGCAATTGAGAGCGATCGCTCCCGTTTCTCGACCAAGTCTGGTATATATATATATATATATATATATATATATATATATATATATATATATATATATATATATATATATATATATATATATATATATATATGCGGTAGTGGTGTAGTGGTAGAGCGCTCGCTTCATAAATGAGTGGTTCCGAGTTCGATCCCCACCACGTCCCTGGTAGTACCGCGCTCAACTCGTTTCTCCGCGCAGCGGCCTTGTTTATCAAGGTTCGTGTTTCGGAGTTATAGAGTTGAGAGAGGGTTATAGCCACAAATAAGTAGCCTCCTCGTCTGTAGTGGCCTTCTCGGCCTTGAGGAGGTGAATTAAAATAAAAATATATATATACATATATACGCATATATACCTATATATATAAATATATATATATATATATATAATTTTTAAATAATTGCAAATGATAAAACTGCTAAATATTTGTTTTCAATATAATGCTATTAGTATTTTGAATATAGGTAAACACAGTTGAAGATAGTCATTCGAAAATGGCAACTGATCTTTCGCCACATGAAATGGAGTATGTCCAAAAAATTGTAAGAGTATCTTTTTAAGATTATTATTATTATAAGAAGTTTTCTTTTTTTTTTTTTTTTTTTATTAATTTATTCTTTTTTATTGTTATTCCAGTGATAGTCAAATAAATAAATTTTTTTTTTAATTGCAAACATCAAAAACAATATATCAGTAAAATGATGTCAGCAGCTGTTATTTTTCTGAATATTCTTTATTTAAACTCTCTAGGAAAATTATTTAAAAGACTTAAAGATTTTATGAAATTTAATGCCAGCACAAAAAAAAGTGCTGGTAGGATGGTCATTTTTAAGTTAGCCTAGGCGATTTAAAAAATTAATAATTAATATCAGAAAATCTTTTTCTGCTATTTAAATTAAAATAAAAAGAGCGAACAGAATGTTTTAAATATATACTAGATAAAATAATTTAAAAAAAAAAACTTTCAAAAACAGGCATTTTTCATAAAAGTTGCACATATGAAAAAAAAAGTTTTGTTGAAATTTAAAACAAAACGCTTTTAGTTTTTTGGCAAGCACTTTTTTATGTGCTTGCCACAGTTTTTACAAGGATTCAGTGTTAACAAGCAGTTGTTAGTAGAAAATTTAAAAAAATTTATTCTTGTTTCCTAAAGAATTGTTTATGACCATATCAATTCCTACGACATTGTTATTCATTGGTATGAGCTTTCAAAATGATCTTTTAAAAAGTTCTAGATTGGCATACTATAGGTACGATTCAGTATTGAAAAAAAATTGATTGATGAAGAAATAGTAAATCAAAGAAGCAGAAAGGAAATTTTGCATCTAAAGTACATCTAAGTTCTTAAACTGATGCTGACATGTTAAGCATTGAAGCAAAAGCAAAGCAAAACTCCAATATCCATAGGAAAGCAAATTCATTAATAAACACAATTTTATAAAAAAAAGGTGGCCACAGTCCTGGAATGTCCTGAAATGTCCTGGAAAATTACATTTTTTTCAAAAATTTCCTGAAATGTCCTGAAACTTTTTTTTTTTCTGAGTCAAGTTAAAAAATTACTAATAATATTGAAGTAATATTAAATTTTTTATGCGAAAAAATATTTTATATAAATGGTTTGAATTTAATTTTAAATAAGAGAGTAATGATAATATAATAATATAATATTCTATTCTATAATTCAATCAATATGAAAAAAATATAACATAAAGATAATTGATAATATTCATTTAATAAGATATAAAATGTCCTGGAAAATGCAACAAAATGTCCTGTAATGTCCTAGAATTTAACTTCTAAAATTTTGTGGCCACAATGAAAAAGAACTGGCAATTATAGCGCTTGATATTTCACTAAAAAAACTTGAGCAATCTAAGAATGAGATTAAACAGAAGATTGATAACCTAGTGTGTCTATATATATATATATACATTTAATACAACTCTCGGTATTAGGAAAAAAGAGGTCAGCAATAATTTGTTGACCTAAATCTTTTAGAGGTTGGCATCAGGTCTGCAAAAAAAATTTGATACAATGGTCTTACCATAAAACATAGAAACGAGGTCAGCAAACACTTTAAGGTTGGCAGTTGGGTTGGCATTTGCGAATGCCGATCCTTATTCGGAGGGTTGTATATATATATATATATATATATATATATATATATATATATACAATGCTCACTAACGAAATAGAACTGCACACAGGTCAGAAATTTAAGGTTTAAGTTTACTATCAAAGTACCACAAAAGTTTTAATAATTGTAATAAGTGGGGCATCTGGACACTTCATTTTCATATTTAAATAAATCTGGGAGGCATCACTTTTTTAAAAAATTAACATTTTTTTTGTATATAAAAAAACTAAGTATACTGACAAAAAGTTTGTTTATTAAAAAAAAAAATATTTATATACCAACTTTCTAAGGTCTCAAATCAATCAAATATTAAGGTCTCAAATCAATCAAATATTTTT